CCAACGCTCTTGTATGGGTGTGAGGCATGGGTTGTGAATGTTGCAACAAGAAGGCTGGAGGCATTGGTGATGTCATGTCTGAGGGCAATGTGTGGTGTGAATATAATGCAGAGAATCCATAGTTTGGGGATTAGAAGGCGGTGCAAGATTACCAAAACTATTATCCAGAGGGCTGAGGAGGGGTTATTTAGATGGTTTGGACATGTAGAGAGGATGCAACAAAATAGAATGACTTAAAGTATACAAATCTGTAGTGGAAGGAAGGCGGGGTTGGGGTCAGCCTAGGAAAGGTTGGAGGGAGGTGGTAAAGGAGGTTTTGTGTGTGAGGGGCTTCGTCTTCCAGCAAGCATACATGAGCGCATTAGACAGGAGCGAATGGAGACAAATGGTTTTTAGGACTTGACGTGCTGTTGGAGTGTAAGCAAGGTAACATTTATGAAGGTATTCAGGGAAAACAGCAGGCCAGACTTGAGTCCTGGAGATGGGACGTACAGTGTCTACACTCTGAAGGAGGGGTGTTAATGTTGCAGTTTTTTAACTGTAGTGTAGGCATGGCTCTGGCAAGACAGTGATGGAGTGAGTGATGAAAGTTTTTCTTTTTCGGGCCACCCTGCCTTGGTGGGAAACAGCCAGTGTGTTAATAATAATAATAATACGTACATAATAACTTCTCGGTCATAACTCTAATTTTGGCTCATAACTCAAAGCAAAAAATCGACTGAGTGACGGCTCGTAACTTGGAAAACCCGTAAGTTAGGGCACTCATAAGTCAAGGTACCACTGTATTTTATAAGAGTTCTGTAGGTTTCCACTTAAAATTTTAATGCCTTTATGAAAAATTTTCTAGCTAGTGTTCAGAATTTTGAACCTATTTTCCCATAGACACCCAAGTTATAAGATGACTTCAACCATAATATTCATTATATAACTTTTTAAACTTGCAAACTGTATACTACATTCGGATAAGTCTCTGTTCCGTTTCCTCCCCTCCCTCCCATTTCCTTGCCCATCTCCCACTCTTTTATTGCATCTGACAACCTTGCATAGGCAGCAGAAATAATACTGCTTCCTTTCTCCCACATCACTCCTGTTAATACTACAGGGTCATCTGTAATTGGTCTTCTTCCTTTGCTCCTGCTCTTTCACATTGCCACTGATGCATCACTGCACTGCCAACAGTATTAAGATGTTTGAACCCCCTCTCACGCATCACATCTGCCACAACACACAAGGGCAGTAGCTATATGACTACCTTACTTTCACATCACTTCTGACAAATCTACAAGACCAGCAGCAACATGACTGCCTTTCTTTGTGCCAGACATAATATATGTATTCCTGTGTTGTATAGTAGGGAGGAAGGGTGGTTGGGAGATATTTTGAGTTGACACCCCACACTGGTTGAGAACATGGCCACCCAGCCAGTCACTACCTGTAATTATGAAGTCTTCAATTCTCAATTAACCTTTACCAAACAAATGAGAGTGCACCACACATGCATAAAATAAAACATATAAAATATCAGTGCATTTGGTAAAAACTACCAGAGAAAAATACTAATATATGCCACCTTTAACCATCATATATACTGAACATACAATTCTTAACATGCCTCAACACATGCATAAAATGAACACACAAATTATAAAAACATTTTTGGAATACTGATAATGTCTTTCTTGCCAAAGATATATTGCTTTGCTTATATCAGTCACAAAATTTGGCAGGCCAAGTTTGCGTTCATGAATAATTAATTATCCAGTTTCAAAGTCAGTATCGTAAATCAGATCATTATACGTTGAGAACCTACTGTATTTTAAAATAATGCTTTTAACAAGTTTCAGGTTCTTTCAGAGTTGTGTGGAAAGCATCGCATCATTGTCAACCATGCTGAGAGGATGACTAGGCTGCTGGACATGTGAGTGGTATCTGAACATCCAGTAAATTGCAGACTATGAAACTAAACTGAACCAAAAATATTTGGTGACAATTAAAAGATTTAGTTGGGTGGCTAGGAGAATTTCTGGAGTACTGTACTTGCCTGTTTTGTAGATCAAGGATACAGAAAGTAGAATTGAGGTGCTTAATTTTATCAAGAAAAAGATAATTTCTCACTCTTCAGTAAGAGACCAATGTTAGTCAGCACAGTATGGAAAACATAAATGTTTAATGGGGAAAAATAAAATTAAAATGTGTAGACTGGTATAGAAGAGTGCAGTTCCCAAATAAAGATTTTTTTTTTTATTAACACATCGGCTGTCTCCCACCAAGGCAGGGTGTCCCGAAAAAGAAAAACTTTCACCATCATTCACTCCATCACTGTCTTGCCAGAGGTGCGCTTACACTACAGTTATAAAGCTACAACATTAATAATTATATATGAAAACAAGTGCTAAATCTGTATGGGTCATATATTGTAGATTTAGTACTACTTGTCTTTAGTACTATTGACTTTTAACCCTTAAACTGTCCAAACGTAAATCTACGTTTGTGCGTGTAGCTCTCCGACCTTGATTTTCTCCATAAGAAAACATGTAAAAAAAAATGTAGATCTACGTTTGGAGTGCTACACAAGCGAACATAGATCTATGGACAGTTTAAGGGTTAAGCAAACTATGACTTGAGCATGAATGACTTCTACAGTAGTTGGGTGACTTCAGGTTTATGAGAAGCAGTAAACAGATTTAAAGATTCCATGGCAGGTACAGTACCTCTTTCAGCATTTTTAGAAAATATAGTAGTACTGTATTTTCATTATATGGACACTGTATATAAATGGGTTTATAATTTTCACTTTTGTCCCCAATTTCATTTGTTGCTTTATCCACCTACATTCTAAGCCACGTACTGTATTCCAATATACCATGCATTTTCTGTGTTCATAAATCATAACGCTAACATTTATCAGTTACTGCCTATCTCTGTTTTGTGAATTCTCTTCAACAGTTGGATTTCTAATGCCACTCAATTTTTTTACAACTTAACTCAAATATTCCACTGCCATACATTTTTGGAAATTGAACGGTCTTAATATATTCTTCCCTTCCTGCTCATGAAGATCTCTTACTGAATTAGTTTTCTCATCTATCATACTTTTAGAAAATCTTAAATCTTCACATTTCCACCTGCTTCACTTGATCAAATTCATCCTTAGCTCAAACTTTCCTCTTAATGGCATTTTTTTTCAGTTTACTACTGTACTAATACATGCTTAAGAAGTTCTATAATTAATATAAAGTCTCTCAAGAATGCTCGTATGCATTTTCATTACACATACACAGTCCTGCTTCTCTTCTAATATGCAGTGTACGTTTTCCAGCTGTCGTCAGTCTTAATCGGGAGCAAGAGGCTAGTAACGCCTTCTGTATAAATTGCTAAATTTTTTAGAAAAACTTGTTTTTCTTTTTAAGTCACCCTCTTCGGTGGAATACGGCCAGTTTGTTGAGAGAAAAAATAAATTCTTATTTTTAAGGGAAAAACAAAAATTGTGAATATATTTTTAATGCCACACTACTCACTCATCTTTTACTTTATTTTAGGATTTTATAGCTAATAGTGTACTACAATACCCATAATTTTCTTTATAAAAGATGTGTCAGTAGAACATTTTTTATTTTTATTATTGTAATAAGGCTACTGTATATACAATATTGTACTGTGTATTCATCATCTTGTACATGTTATGTCTTTCATTTGTAAGTTTGTATTCTGTCTTTTCTAAGTTTAGTACTTGTACCTTGCTGATTAAATCATATTCATTAGCAGCTGTATTTTGTTCCATATTGTTAAGTTTAAAAAGTACATTTCAGTACAGCGTCTCCTCACTTAACAATGGAGTTCCGTTCCTAAGACCACGTAGTTAAACAAATTCATCGCTAAGTGAGGACCATACTATAATGGTAGTGGGTTTGTGTCAACCATCTTTGATAGTTTTTAATGTCATTTTTGCACCTTTTACTGTATAGTGAAATAAACAGAATAGAGGAAATCAGCTCTAATATACATTATTTAGGTATGAATACTGGTCAGAGAGCCTGTCATACGTCCGAGGCGTCAGTAAACGAGTATGTCGCTAAGTGAGGAGAGGCTGTACTGTAGCTATGAACCACTCCAGTAAGTTCCATTTTAACTAATCTTTTTTGTGCTTAGAAAATATTATACAGTAGTTAACTTTTTTGATATACTGTATTTATTATTATAAAGCCATTTATTTTTATGCAACAATTATCCTAAGTGGTTACTTATTATTTATAAAAACCTGTAGATCATACACTAATGGCTTTTTAACAAGCTGGCCATCTCCCACTGAGGCTTTTTGTGTAGTATATCCACAAAAGAACACCAAACCCACATGAGTTTTTCAAAGTTGACATTTTCATAATGTGCTAAAACAAATCTTATGTTGCACATTAAACAAACTCAATTTTTATTTATTTTGCAGAGGCTTGTCATATGGTTTAGCACTTCTTTTTGATTATAATAATAATCCAGTCACACAAATATATAAATATTAATTTTATAAAATATTTTATACCTTAAGTCAAAGATTTTTATAATAGTTTTTGAGCAAAAGAACTGCCTCAATTTTTTGATTGACTGAGGTAGTTCATTTCACTCAAATTGAGAGGCTTGAGGCATCTGCACATGCATACCCAATTAGCAAAGTATAGTGAAACCTCGATTTAACAACCCAGCATGGGGTAGTGTGTCCAGTAATGCTAATTGTAGTTAAATTTGAAATTTGGTTAATCCAATAGACCATAACAGTAATGGACAGTTCAGGAAATAATTATTTTTGTTAATTCTGGCAAATTTACCCACCAGATTGTAACATCAAACAATTCTGGATTTGGCCTCTGTTCATTGTTTCCATACATTGTTTCCATACATTGTTTCCATTAATTAAAATCGGAAATGCATTGTCGAGGTTTTACTACATACTCGAGGGTGTAAAATAAGCCAGAAAGACCATGTAGGGGAAGCAAATGAAAGGTATTGCATGGGAAAATAGCATTTATTAAAAGGATAATATGAAGTTCAAGAAAATGTGACAGACCACGAAGTGGCACTGCTGGGTGAATGTGACCGAAGAAAATGACCATCAATGCAAGAGGATACCACCACTTCTTCCACGGTAATGCTTGCAAGGCTGACCATGGCCAACCCATTACTACCTGTGCTGACCAGTTTAATACTAGTGCCATTTGGCCTACTGCCTATACTAATAGATGATATTTTGGAAAGAGGTGGTATAAAATACAAGATGGAGAAAAACAGTGGACTTTATCAAGTCACAAACTGATCTGCCTAGTGAGGGAGGATGAGCCTATATATAGGGATTGTAGTGAAGTGAGGAGTCAGGTTAGGCATTTTGTAGCTATAACCTTGGTAGCTTTAAACTTAGGTTGAGCAAATATATGACTGGAAAGTTGAGTTTGGGATGCATGAGCCAGCAAGCCCACTGCAGTGCTCCTCCATATTAATGAACTATTGCTATGTGGTATACCAGCATAAAAGTTTCCTGGCAAGAGACTCGGCTATGTTGTAAAAGCCATTAGGGTTGATATTATTGGTTAGGTTGATTCTGACATCCTGCTTTAGCACTTCTTTTTGATTATAATAATAATCTGACATCCTGTATCTTTGGGTGTCTTCTTGTCAAAGATTTGTGCATTCTTGTAATTAAGTGGTTGTGGGAGTGTGTGTGAAAACAGCGTTGTTTAAGTCTCCATTTCTGCTGGCGTATTGGCGATCAGAAGTGTGTGTGTGTGTGTGTGTGGTCTTTTGACGTTTTGCCCACATATATTTTGTTACAATTTTTGCAAGGGATTGTGTATATCCTGCATTGGTTTGAACTTCTTAGTGGTAACTCTCAATGATGTCCTTGATTGTAGTACAGAAAATGGTGGCTACTTGAAATCTGGTCTTGGAGACTGTAGATGCTGTCCACATAAAATCTTAAAATTGCCTAGATAGGGCACCACTGAAAGAAGATAGTCCTCCCTAACACATTCATTGTCAAACATTACCAATATTCTAATTTTTTCAACAAACTGGCCTTATCCCACTGAAGCAGGGTGGCCCAAAAAGAAAAACAAAACTTTTCCTTTTTAACTTTAGTGATGTATACAGGAGAAGGGGGGTTACTAGCCCCCTGCTCCCGGCATTTTAGTCACCTCTTATGATGTTCATGGCTTACGGAGGAAGAATCCTGTTCCACTTCCCCATGGAGATTACCAATATTCTCTCCACTAAACTTCAAGTATCCACAGTCACTGTCTTCATTACATTCAAGGACATCACCAGTAAGACTACAAAGTTCAAACCACTCAAGGGTATACACAATCTTAATGATTGACAGAATATGTGTGGTCAGAACATCCAGAACACACATTCTAAACACCAATGTGCTGTATAGCCCTTGTGGCTTAGCGCTTCTTTTTGATTATAATAATAATAATAATAATAAACACCAATGTGCAAGCAGAAAAGACCTTTAAAAAAATGCCTGTGTTTGACACAAACTTTCACAACCACCTCATTAATTACAAAGGCATACAACTCGTTGCCAAGCTGTATAGCCCTTGTGGCTTAGCGCTTCTTTTTGATTATAATAATAATAATAACTCATTGCTAAGAAAGAAGACACCATGATATGCAGGATCTTATTGTCACTCATTAGCATAGCCAACAATTTCAGCTTCTACAACATAACTGAGCCTTTTGACAGGAAATTTCTAGTTCAGTATCCCATAAATATGGAGGAGCACTACAGTAGGCCTGCTGGCCCCATGCTAGACAGGTTCCTATAAAGTCCTGTCTTCTATTTATCCAACTCAAGTTCAAAGCCACCCTAGCCCATCTCTTCACCTCGCTAAGCTCCCTATGTATAGGCTCAACCTCCCTCTCAAGGCAGATCTATTTGACTTGATAAAGCCCACTGCATGGGCAAAACGTCAATAAAGGATCACATACTGCATTAGTCTTTCTCCAGTTCTGTTCTAGCATTACAACTTTCCTTTTGCAGTACAAATAAATTTTCCTATAATATAAAGGCTTTGGCCATATACAATATTTATTTAAGGTTGTAATCTTACTAAAATATAAACTCGCGTAATATGTTACACAAGTTTCCCCGGTATACATGTTTGTTACAAACAACTCTACATAATGTCATGCAATCAGTGGAGAACAAGTCACAATACTGTGGCTAGAACAATTCACGCCAAGCCCGTAAACTGTAAATGAAATTAAATGCCATTTCCATCCATCCTGGTTCACTACGAGGTCAACTCAATAATGGTACAGGATGGACTGAAATGTCATTTAGTTTCCATCTCAAATTTATGGGTGTGATATGGATGCAGTCAGTATTTTATGGTCCACTGTTTAAATTATTTTACAGCAACATACTAAGACTACAAAATATGCACGACAATAACATTAATTCAATCCTCTCTTTCTCCCACAAAGAAAAATAAAGCGTTCACATATTCTGCAAGTGTCGAAGGTAATGCTAAACTTCTCTTAAATAAATTTGTTCACCACTCACTGTTTGCCTGTCACAGGTGTGCATGCCATTTCAGTTACTTCTATATAATCTTCCCATGATTTTTCATAAATAGTAACATCACATTTACTGCTGGGTTTGTTTGTATTCTTACTGCAGGTTCTCAAGTCTTCAATTTGATCTTCCTTTAGACAAGATGTCCAGCTCACCAATATTTGCAACTTCCAGTTAAGACCTGCAACTACCTGTTAAAAATTACAATAATTAATTAAACAGTGCTCATTTTTCATAATCATGTAGAAAAAGAAATAAAAATTCTTACATAAATCCATAATATACAGTAATTTTTTACCAACCTGATTTTGAGCACTGATCACATTTTCAACAACTCTGACTTCAGGATCATCAGAAATTGCATCCATGGATTTCAAAGCAAATGCTGCTAATTCAATGACTTTTGGGTCAGAGACATTTACAGGTGAATATCCACCTGTTGCAGATCTCCTATCTCTAAAGCTTGGAAGCTCGTCAGAATCATCTTCTTCAGTGTCGTGGCGCCGGAAGTTTGTCCGACCAGAAGGATGATAGAAGCGCTTTATGGAAGAAAAACAAGTCAACATAAGTCAAAGCCTTTCCTTTCAATTGTCTGATTTTTATTTCTGTCTGGTAATTTTAATACAGTACAGTATTATGTACCGAAATAATTCTTATGCTATTTCTCTAGCAATGTTGCACTACACAGTAATAACTAACTAGTGTAATATTAAATACTGTTTCAAACTTGCTTTACCATTGTTCATTTGCCATTTCCCCACCTAAAGCAATAAGCTTTAATTATACTTACGTTTACTTCTACTCATATGTGTATTACTGTACATTTATAAAATATATTAGTGCTGTTATTATTAAGAATATACTGAAAATCTGCACATAGCCTTGCTGCCACAACTCTTGAAATTGTATCAATTAAAACTGAACTTCAAAAGGCCAGGGCCCATTGTTAACCTTAGTTACTTCATCAGACCGATCTTCGATGGACTCGTGGCTGGTGCTAGATGTCCCCCTGGATGGGTCGTAGAAACGCTTTAGGAAGGAAGAGGTACAATTGCCATTAGCGATGCCTCTTCCATGGCAATGGATCAAATTTTCAGGCATTTAGAGGATGAGGTTGCCATGTGAAATTACTGAAGGCTGAGGTAATTACACAATTAGAGAAGTGTGCAAGTAAGGATTAAAACAAGGGATTATAATCAAAATAAAATTGCATAGCCATGCACGAACTGTTTTTTTTTTTTTTTTTAACGTACAAACAAAAACAAAACTGGGTGGAAATAAGTATGAAGCTAAATGTAAATTAATAAGGAAGGAAATATCCCAAAGATTAAAGAAACAGGGCCAAATTTTGAAAGCAGAGACTTTCATTGCCATCATAAACATGCTAATAAACAATAGCCACATTCAACTCCAAAGCTATTTCCAACACCCTCCTGATATAACAAAATGTTTAGCACAACAGCCAATTTGGCTTTTTGTGCCAAAGATTTTGCTATGGAAGACATCAGAACACATACTATTATACTTAACAAATTTTGTTTTAAATACTGTAAAAGTAAACAAATGTTTTCACAGGAGCTTACCTCATTGCTTTCATCACTCTCCACACTGTCTCTGACCAAAAACTGACTTTGGAACACTGGCCTGGCATGAGCAGTTGGATGCACACTGGGATACAAAACTTCAACAGAATCATCTGCTTTAAAGAAATCATCTTTCTCAGCACATCGGAGATTAGTCACAACTTTTCTCTTGAGCCAAGGCTGTGTCAAAACATGTGCCTCACACACCTGTAAGTTCAAGAATAAAACATAGAAAATTATGAAACACTCAAGCACAAAGTAATCCAGGCAGAGTAAATAAAAGTACAAAGCAAATAAATCAGACAAGATTTGCATTAGACACCTAGCATATTTCAAGAAGTAGAAAATACGTTTCTCTTAAACTTTATAGACCTTTCATTAAAATTCCCTTCAAGGCGAGAGGCTCTTGATGCAAGGAATTGAACCTATCCTACTCTTCCTTGTATCCCCTCAAGGGAGGTTCCTTGATGCTGGTAAGGGGCTCGATCGAGGGAATTGGAGCCATGATCCAATTTTCTGTATCAAGCCTGAATGCCTTCCATACCCCTCTCCCACACGTGCTGTGTAATCACTATGGGTTTAGTGCTCCCCCATGATAATTAATCTTCCTTGTATCAAACCTAATTGCCTCGAATTACCCCAGGCACTATAACCTGTATGGTCTTAGTTCTTTCAACTGAATGTTATAAAAATATTTTAACCAAAATTACAAAAGAGCAGATAAAAATGTCTTCCAGAACTTAGTAAATAACACAGTATTAGTGAAAGGTAACATGATCATATAAAACTACAATGACTTAAAGGTGGGGGACAAAGCCTAATTAACCAACAAAGTTCAGCCTTTCAGTACTGTACAGTATTATATCTTTTCCTTCTTTCAACAAACTGGCCGTATCCCACAGAGGCAGGGTGGGCCAAAAAGAAAAATGAAAGTTCTCTTGTAAACTTTAGTAATGTATACATGAGAAGGGGTTACTAGCCCCTTGCTCCCGGCATTTTAGTCGCCTCTTACAACACGCATGGCTTACGGAGGAAGAATTCCGTTCCACTTTCCGATGGAGATAAGAAGGAATAAACAAGAACTAGTAAGAAAATAGAAGAAAACCCAGAGGGGTGTGTATCTACATGTTTGTAAATGCATGTGTAGTGTGACCTCAGTGTAATTAGAAGTAGCAAGACATACCTGAAATCTCGCATGTTTACGAGTCAAAAGACACTAGCAGTCCTACCATCATGTAAAACAATTACAGGTTTCTGTTTTGCACTCACTTGGCATGATAGTACCACCCTGGGTGGTTGCTGTCTACCAACGTACTAATAAAAAAAAGAGGCACAATGCCATGACTGGAATGATACACAAATAACCTGCACGTAGAAGAGAGGAGCTTGCGACGACGTTTCGGTCCAACTTGGACCGTTTAAATGGTCCAAGTCGAACCGAAACGTCGTCGTAAGCTCCTCTCTTCTATGTGCAAGTTATTTGTATACCAACCTACTACCTAGACAGTATTATATAGTATCTTCTTTCAACAAACCGGCCGTATCCCACCAAAGCATCGAGGCCCATAAAGAAAAACAAAAAGCTTCTCTTTTTAACTAGTAATGTATGCAGGAGAAGGGGTTACTAGCCCCTTGCTCCTGGCATTTTAGCCAACTCTTACGACACACGTGGCTTACGGAGGAAGAATTCTGTTTCGCTTCCCCATGGAGAAGTATTAATTTTTTTTTTTTTTTTTTTTAACAAGTTGGCCACCTCCCACCGAGGCAGGGTGACCCAAAAAGAAAGAAAATCCCCAAAAAGAAAATACTTTCATCATTCAACACTTTCACCTCACTCACACAGAATCACTGTTTCTGCAGAGGTGCTCAGAATACAACAATTTAGAAGCATAGCAACAGTATTATATACTTTTCTTTCAACAAACCGGCTGTATCCCACCAAGGCAGGGTGGCCCAAAAAGAAAAACGAAAGTTTCTCTTTTTAAATTTAGTAATTTATACAAGAGAAGGGGTTACTAGCCCCTTGCTCCCGGCATTTTAGTCGCCTCTTACAACACGCATGGCTTACGGAGGAAGAATTCTGTTCCACTTCCCCATGGAGATAAGAGGAAATAAACAAGAACAAGAACTAGAAAGAAAATAGAAGAAAACTCAGAGGGGTATGTATATATATGCTTGTACATGTATGTGTAGTGTGACCTAAGTGTAAGTAGAAGTAGCAAGATGTACCTGAAATCTTGCATGTTTATGAGACAGAAAAAAAAGACACCAGCAATCCTACCATCATGTAAAACAATTACAGGCTTCTGTTTTACACTCACTTGGCAGGACGGTAGTACCTCCCTGGGCGATTGCTGTCTACCAACCTACTACCAAGGAGTATATTATATTTCTTCTTTCTAAAATAAAAACCGCCGTATCCACGAGGCGGGGTGGCCAAAAGAAAACGAAAGTTTCTCCTTTACATTTGTAATATATACAGGAGAAGAGGTTTGTTTTAATGCCCTTGCTACCATTTTGTTCTCTTACAACACGCATGGCAGGAGGAGAATTCTTGTTCACCTTCCCATTTGGGGAACACTGAGGAATAACAACAAGAATAAGTAACTAGAAAGAAATTAGAAAGAAACCAGAGGGTGTTATATATGTGCTTGTACATGTATGTGTAGTGTGACTAAGTAAGTGTAATAGATAAGTAAGCTGACAGACGTACCTGAAATCTTGCATGTTCATGAGACAGAAAAAAGGACACCAGCAATCCTACCATCATGTAAAACAATTACAGGCTTTCGTTTTACACTCACTTGGCAGGACGGTAGTACCTCCCTGGGCGATTGCTGTCTACCAACCTACTACCAAGGAGTATTATATACATACATATAAAAAACCTGAATCAGTTTACCTAAATATTAAATAACCCAGCTTAATCTGGTCCTAAATAGGAAGGATTACTATTATGAAATCATCCTATGGGTGATCAAAGTAATAATTATTTCTACGAGTTATATATAATCTGCTTTACCTTGTGTTCTTCACCAATGTCTGGCAGACAGCGAGTCTTGTCGATGCGTCGCTTGTACTTGGGACACACTGTATGCACCAGCTCAACAACTAAGTGATAATTAAGTCCTGAAACAACCTTGAAAGAAAGGGTAATAATTTAGATATTAGAGAAAAAATTATAATTAAATTTCATTTCACTTGATATATCCAATTACTAAGCTATGTATGTCTCTCTATCCAGCAGAGTGATTACCATGTCACTGTCTTCAAAGAATTCCACCCTTAACACAGTATATCGCACCCAAGGTATATACACCTTCTATTCATCTAACTCATATAGAGTTTGTTTCAATGTTTCTATATCTTACTAATTCTACATCATTAATTTACCAGTAAAGAAATTTGTAGCACAAGCCATTACAATATAATACTGCTTAAAGCAAACAGAACTGACAGAGGTACAATATAACTACCCCATCAAGAGAGATATCTTGATGCTGGTGAAGGTGAATTAATTTTGATGGAACTGGACCTACCCTCCTCTTCTTTGGTTCAAACCTGATTACTTTATTATTATAATCAAAAGTAAGCGCCAAGCCCTCCAGGGTCATACAGCGCTACTACTATAATACAACATGACTTTACATACCTGCTTACGAGCCTGTAAGAGTTTATGGAAGATGAACAAGTTATCTTCGTCAGATCTTGAGTCAAACTCATCAGCAATCAGGTGACCCAACTTGACAAGACTTTTATCATTGACATCAGCAGCAGTCCATTGTCCATTATGTGGGCCTGTGAAGAGAACAATATCTTCATCAAAATGTGGACAAGAAAAACTATAATGGGGTTTAGGTCTCTTTTGTAAATATTTTTTATTAGCACAAGAAACTCTAAATTGCCTAATGGCCTCTGTTATGTTATTTTCATCAACTTTCCATAGTAAAAGTTACATATTTCATATAAATACAAGATGAGCCTGTGTACTAATTGGCACCACCTGCACAAGAAATTTTTTATAATTTACCAGATCCAACTGCTTGCTGTGAGAAGGCACTTGTTGGACCAAACTTGCCTGATAAAGAACAAATTTAATATTAAAAAAAAAAAAAAAATGAAACAAATATTTTGCAATACAAACATACATTATTTTCTTATACACAAACTTCTGTTATAACTAAGACATCACAATGTGTTTACTATTACATCACAGGTATACCAGTCAATTACCAATGTGTTTATGAACACTTAAAAACGTTCAACTCCTTAGTTCATGTACTAGTGAATGCACTGCCCATATAATTAAACAAATAAAAAAAAATGCAAATTTCACTATATAGCTAGATTAATTTGTCTAAAAAAACATTTATTTTTCTTTATCCTAACCTTCATTAGTTTTTAATAATTTACAGTATCATTATGTCTTATTCTAGCAACTAGGAGCAGGGCTGTAGGAACAATGACTCCTGAAATCAAATCCAGATTGACATCCTTAAAATAGCTGGAGTAAACCCATGCATAAAAATGGAGATCCCTCTGACAAATACTATACATGTATATCAATTTCAAACCTACCAATAGTATCAAAAGTATTTGAAAAAATACTACAGTATACATATAATTTAATATATATATTCAGACCCCAAAAGAGTAAAAACTATGAAATAATGAAAATGAGCACCTCTGCAAAGACAGTGATTATGTATGAGTGATGCTGAAAGTGTTGAATGATGATGAAAGTATTTTTTCTTTCTTTTTGGGTCACCCTGCCTCGGTGGGAAACAGCCAATGTGTTATAAAAAAGATATACAATCTATACAATGCTTGATAAGAATGAATTCCCTTATGGTACATTTAGTGACCCACAGGTCTTTGACACTGTTGACCACAACTTCTGTAAAACTGTAACAGGATCTGACAAGTAAACCTACATAACACTACCACATCTTCTCTAAATGGAGTTCAAACATATGAACATACTATTTAATAAAGTTACATTGCATTTGTGTTCACAAACAGACAAGGGAAGGCATTCAACCCCTTCCCCACCCACACATGGATTTTTTCTTTTTAACATGCTGGCTTGTCTCACTAAGGTAGGGTGACCCCCAAAAAGGAACCATATTCACTACTGGTCATTCAACAGCTGTGTTGCTTACATGGCCCTCTGAACTGCAGTATCTCCACCCCTCCTCAAGAGTGCAGGTCTTGTACTTTATCTTCAGGACTCAAGTTAACTGTTTTCCCTGAATTCCTTCATAAAAGTTACTGTGCTCACACTCCAACAGCACACTAAGTCATAAAAGCTGGATGCTCATAACTATGCTCTCCCTCCGATCCATCCTCGGATGGCACCTACCCCTCCTTCCCTCCACCTCGAATTTACACACCTTCATCCTCTATAAATGCCCAAATCACGTGAACAGCCCCTTCTCAGTTTTCTGAATTATACCTTTGGTAATCCCACTACATCTTCTAATTTCTATGATCCAAAATTTTATGCATAATATTCACACCACTCATTGCTCTCCAACATATCTTCACAGCCACCAGCATCCTCCTCACTGCAAAATTTAAACCCTGTGCCTTGCATGCATATAAAAGTATTGGTATCACTATACTCTGGTATATTCCCTTATTCCTCCACCACAATGAATGTGAAATAAATACCTCTAATCTTTCTTGTGTAGTATTCACTCATATCATCACAGTAGAGTTTGTTAACCTGTCTGTTGCCACCAGGTCCATGAGGCACAAAGATTTCTGCTTGGCATACTTCTCTCTCTTCACCATGATCAAGAGGGCAGCGATTAAGATCAGCAATTGGAAGGTACTTCTTACAGCGAGTCTCAGCCAGCTCAATTTCCAAATGATAATTTATACCACCTGATGCAGCCTTGGAGACAAAAACAGCTTTATTGAATAAAATGTAAGATGCAGTACCATTAAGGACAACTGTAAAAACTCTTGCATCCTTTCACAACAATGCATCACCTGGCCCATTATTTTTATAATTATCTTAAAATCAAACATTTCCTATTAAAATTATAACATATCTTTGTCCAGTATTCATTTTTTTTTTTTTTAACTCAATGAATGTCTCCCAGCATTCACTCAACTGTTGTCTTCCCAGAAGTGTGCTGACATCACAATCAGATTACCCTTCTGACTGTAACTTCCCTATCCCTCCTTCAGAGTGCTGGCACTTCCTTCCCACCTCCAGGATTTAATCCTTTCATAAAAGTTACTCTGCTATACATTTTTCTGGAAAAATGTTTTTGCTTTGGCCAGACTCTAGCCTGACCAGGTTAGGTCTCTACTTAGCTGGTTAGGTCTATGGCTAACTGATTTAAATATACACCTGGCTGGATTTAGGTATCTATATGACTGGGTCTACTTTGAAAATAAAAATTTTGGTGTACCACATTTTGACAATACACACGTGCACGTGCGCGCGCGCACGTACACATACGTGCACGCATGTGCGCGCACACACACACACACACACACACACACGCGCGCACGCACACGCACACAAAGTACATTATTATTCAAGGTAGTATTCAAGTTTTCTGGTAACAAATAGTATCAACACTCAAATAATTAAAATGGTAAACACCTGTGATTGCCACATTTACTCTAAAGTTTACCAGTATTATATTGAAAGCACATGAAGATCAATAAATAAAATATTAATAAAACCTTATTATTGCAAATACATAGTCTCTTGCCTTATATACTTTAGATTACTCAAATTTCTTGATAGGAGTGTACCCACCTGCTGGTAAGCACTGATGATCTGTGTTAAGGTATACAATTCGTCTTCATCACCTCGGAGGTTATACTGTTCTGTTACAAAAGCAGCAGTTTTCTGCACATTGGAATCATTTTTGGCAACTACTTGAAAACCAGCATGGGTGTCTTGTGTAACATTCAGGAAGGGATGATTCGTAAAGTCGAAAGAATTGTGGGTGGGCAAGAGTTGCTGAAATATAATAAAAGAATTACACAATAAATAATATAATTTGGAGTATGTACAAGACAGAAAATATTTAAAATATAGATGAACAAAATGAATAGAGAATTCCAGAATAAAAAAAGGTGTAATATAAATGTTAACGAATAAAACTGAGATAATGCAAGAGAACAAGTAAAGGGATAATGCAAAAGAACAAGTAGGCAGAGACTCTTAAACATTTTATATCATAGTAAATGTACTGCTCGCATCTAAATGAATACATTAAAGTATTACAGACTGATGAAGCAAATTTGCGACATTTGACTTTTCAAGACATTCTGAAGCTAGAAGTTCAAAACATGGCTATACAATTTTTTAGTGTTCAGAGAGGAACCTACATAAATTGTGATGATTAGAGCAACAAATTACTGAAAACTGAGGAGAAAAAATAAGCCTTTATCAATGAAAAAAAAAAAAAAATCATCAGACATGTTTGGATTAAAATTACTGGGAAAACAAAAGACGGGTACGTATGTACAAGTCACCAAAAACCCACAGTCAGGAAAGAACAATACAAGGAAACTGCAGTCCACCATGGACCACTGACAAGTCAACTAAGGACGAATGGCCACAAAGACCTGAAACATCGTACGATTCACCTCCTAATTGCAAATTTTTGGTCAATTGTTCCAGCCATGGTACTGTGACTTTATTCTTTAATAACAGTAAAGTGCCACATAAAAAAAAAAAAAGAATTATGAATCATACCTGCTCTAAGTAATCATCCAGGTCATCACAAGTAAGAGACAAGATCCTGCGGAAATCTGAAGTCTGAAGCCATGCTTGTTCGTGAACCACTGCCTTGCACACCTATGAAAAATAATAGTTTTAATTTTGAGAAAGTATTTGTCTATTGTTAGGTAAATGGACACAGATGCAACTTATGTGACACTTTATTGTGGCAAAACACTGCCACAATAAAATGTCTCACTAGTTGCATGTGTGTCCATTTACCTAATATTTTGTCGGTAATTCTACCATTGTCTATTGCTCATAACTTTCTATTAATTTCAAATGCTGCAGTTATGCAAAATTAAGAAAAAATGAACAGAAGCAGATCTATTTTTACTATATACTATAAAACTGTGACCAATGTTACACTCCTCTTCTAAGTGTTATATTCAATTGTCCAATTGTGTAAAGCTGGTGATACTGTGGACTTACGTAAGGCTCATGACTGTGCTTGTATTAAGTTGGTGATTCTGTGTACAGTACGTGTGTAGGACTGACTATTCTGTGTGCCTGTGCAAAACAGGTGATTCTGTGCACAAGTGTAAAGCTGGCTATTCTGTACACTTGCATCAAAAATTATAAATCATCTATTATCTATATTAGCCTCTGGCAATGTCTTACCTCATGCTCCTCTGTGGGGTCTAGCAAGCAATGCTCTCCATTGCCAAGTGCTGGGTCAAGCTTGTGACAGTTGGTTTCTCCCAACTCAACTACAAGAGTGTACTTCCTCCCTGACACGACCTGCATCAACAGTTTCAGATTAAAAACTAACATTTTTGAACATAAAAGAAGCATTTAGTTAACCCTTAAACTGTCCAAACGTAGATCTACACTTACGTGCATAGCGTTCTGACTTTTATTTTCTCCATTTGAAAGCATTTAAAAAAAAAAAAGGTAAATCTACGTTCGGAGCTCTATGCACGTGAACATAGATCTACGTTTGGACAGTTTAAGGGTTAAAAAGCCACCGACTCTTCATTTACATAAATTTGGAAGGAGGGCTACCTTCCTAAAGGTCCTGTGAATTTAGAATCTGTATATTTAAAAACTGTCTAAATAAGAAATAAATAAATAAAAAATATATTTTCCAAGAAGATAAAGTAAAGGAATAAGACAGGGAATTGGAGGAAGCAAAAGGAAGATGGTGGAAACAAAAAAGAGAAGGACTCGTCCAAGAACTGTATGCTTATTAATTCAATTGAATAAAGAAATTAGATAAAATTTGACATGGAGTATTATGGTTAAAAGAACACAAACTATGTCGTGTCTATAGGAACACAGGATCAGAGTTACCAACACTTCAGTAATGCATTAAATTGCAAGGAACTTACTTAATTATTGTAGTTAATGCATTATGAAGATCATAAGTAACCCAAAAAGTGAATATGACATCATTGAATTTTGACAATTATGCAGCCCCAAAACAAAAATCAAAATTAATGCTATGGAATTGCTCATCAAAAAAGTAAGCAAATAAAAGCCTACTCTCCTCAGGTTACTCAATTCTGAAAATGCCTGGAACATTTGCTACAAACTCTCTCTCAAGAGAACTTTCTATATACAGAAAACTTCACAAAATTAGGATCACTAAATTAATTAAAAGGCTAACCTGTGAGGATGCTTCATGAACCTTCACCAGCTTGAAATATTCAGAATCATCCTCTCTTTTGTTATATTCATCCACAATCATTTTCACAACTTCCATTGTCTGAGCATCAACCTCCACAGGTCTGTGACCACCCAACAGTGAGGATTGAGGCCTGAAAGAAGGTGCTGATCCATGAGGTGCAGAGCTAAGGCCTGTTCCAAGAGCAATTGGAACAATGAATTCATCCTGGTTCGAGGCTGGATAATCATCCTTATCATAGCATCTGCAAGGACGAAAATAATATAATAATACTGTAATAATACAGTAATACTTATTTCCAGACAATACATTTTATGCTTGTGCAATAGTTTGGGGAGAATTAAAATTTGAAACAAAGTGCTATTTTAAAAGCCCATACATGTATTATACAAGATTATGATTCAGTAGTCTTCTTGAAAGACAGACAGCTTGGAAATAAATGATGTTTAGGTATAATCTTGAAAATTTTCATCAGATTTTACCAAATTCACTCATAATTAAGGAATATAAATATAATTTCTGTAAATTAAGAGACTTTTATATTAAAAGTTTACTTTATGTTTATCATAAAAATGTACAAATTTGCTAATTTACTTCAATGAACACATTTTTTGCTTCGCAACAAGTCCTAAAGTTATAAGTACAGTATAAGGGAAAACAAAGTCTGTGATGAACATACTGTGCAGCAACAAGATCTCTGGCAGGAATCCAAGGCTGGTCAACCACGTGTAGGTCACAGATTTTCGTCTCCTCATCATGATCTTGCATACAGAAAGTTCGATTGACATCAACACCGGTCAAAGTTTTTTTGCAATCTGTTTCTGCCAGTTCAACAGTGAGGTAGTACTTGAGGCCAGCAACCACCTTAAGAAATTATAGGGCATAAAAATTTAAGTATATTTGGAATACAAATCATAGAAAAATATATACGAGTCACACATTAATTTTGACATTCTAAAATCTGATGTGAAATGAGCAAATATATATTTACCTGAGTTTGGGCCTTGATGAGCCGAAGAACAAGATGAAGATCCTCTTCATCAGTAGCAGTCCTGTCATACTCTTTAAGAGCAAAGTCCGCAATTTCCATGATGGTGGGATCATTAAGAGGAGCTGGTTGTGGACAACCTAGGCAAGGAGCTTGAACAGGGACGACTAATTCCTCCTCTACACCTCGCTAAAATGTACAAAGACCATTGTTACGTAATGCAGTCATTCTTTGTTCAAATTACATTAGGTATTGATATACATTTAACTAATGTGTTTGTGAATTAACCGATGTAGATGAGACTCCCTTTGTCTAACATGCAAAATAATTACAATTCAGTTGCTTCAAAAGCACAGGACATTTATAAAAAAAAAAATAAGAAATAAAAGCATACAAATTTCCTATAAGGTATACAATTAAATTTGTCATAATCTGGAGGTGTCAAATGGACTCAAATTTGCATTAGAAACTAATACAGGTAGTAGCACTGCCCAAAATACTGTATATATATATCTTTCTTCTTTCAACACACCGGCTGTATCCCACCAAGGCGGGGTGGCCCAAAAGGAAAAACGAAAGTTTCTCCTTTTACATTTAGTAATATATACAGGAGAAGAGGTTACTAGCCCCTTGCTCCCGGCATTTTAGTCGCCTCTTACAACACGCATGGCTTACGGAGGAAGAATTCTGTTCCACTTCCCCATGGAGATAAGAGGAAATAAACAAGAATAAGAACCAGAAAGAAAATAGAAGAAAACCCAGAGGGGTGTGTATATATGTGCTTGTACATGTATGTGTAGTGTGACCTAAGTGTAAGTAGAAGTAGCAAGACGTACCTGAAATCTTGCATGTTCATGAGACAGAAAAAAGGACACCAGCAATCCTACCATCATGTAAAACAATTACAGGCTTTCGTTTACACTCACTTGGCAGGACGGTAGTACCTCCCTGGGCGGTTGCTGTCTACCAACCTACTACCTATATATATATTTATAATATATATATATATATTTTATATATATATATATATATATATATATATATAATATATATATATATATATATATATATATATATATACATATACATGTATATATATATATTATATATATACATATACATGTAATATATATATATATATATATATATATATATATATAATTTTATATATATATAATATATATATACATGTATATATATATATATATAATAATATATATATATACATTATATATATATATATATACATGTATATATATATTATACATGTATATATATAATATATATATATACATTATATATATACATATATATATATAATAATACATGTATATATATACATATAATATATATATATACATGATATATATAATATATATATATATATATATATATATATATATATAATAATATATATATATAACATGTATATATATACATGTAATATCAGTATATATATATATATATATATATTATATATATATATATATATTAATATAATATATATAATAAATTTTAATATTATATATATACAGTGGAGCCTCAAATATCGAACTTTCTTCGATCCAGAAGGCTGTTCGAGTGCCTTTACCGAATGAATTTATTCCCGTCAGGAATAATGTAAATTAGATTAGTCCATTTCAGACCCTCAAAAATATACTTATAAAAGCACTTACAAAAATACACTCACATAATTGGTCGTGTTGGGAGCAGTTCGATTTTTGAGGTTCCACTGTATATACAGTGGACCCCCGGCTTATGATATTATTTCATTCCAGAAGTATGTTCAGGTGCCATTACTGAACGAATTTGTTCCCATAAGGAATATTGTGAATTAGATTAGTCCATTTCAGACCCCCAAACATACACGTACAAACGCACTTACATAATTGGTCGCATTGAGAGCTGATCGTAAAGCAGGGGTCCACTGTATACATATACAAATTTTATAGCTTTACTTAAAAAGTATATACAATAGTATATACTTACAATAGTATATACTTACATTAAAGCATTTTCCAAATGCTTTAATGTAGGTATTTATATATGATAATTCGAGCTGTTGAAGTGTGAGCAGGGTAATATTTTGTGAAGGGATTCGGGGAAACTGGTTAGCCAGACTTGAGTCCTGAAATTGTGAAGTGCAATGCCTGCACTTTAAAGGAGGGGGTTTATGATATTGGCAGTTTGGAGGGACTTCTGAACTGTCTTATCTGAGCTCCTCTGCAAAGACAGTAATTATGTATGAGTGAGGTGAAAGTGTTGAATGATAAAAGTATTTTTCTTTTTGGGGATTTTCTTTCTTTTTGGGTCACTGCCTCGGTGGGAGATGACCAACGTGTTAAAAAAAAATCCAAGCTCCATCTTGTGCACAGTTGAGGAGATGGTATAGCTTTCCTTGTTACACAAGGAAGGGCTCTCGATCTAAAGAACTGAAAGGGTCGTACATAGGTCGGAGGGCGGAGAGAAAAAAAAACTCGAAAAAATATGAAAATCGAGTTATTGTTACCAAAAAATAGCTGAACTTTCTGGCAACACTCTGGTATAATTATTATCCTTGTACGATGTTTCTAAAAGGAATTACAGCCATTTATAACAGGCATGGTGACAGCGCTGACGCGTCATATTGCGTAACAAGCGCTGACGCGACATTGTTTACGTTTTTTCCCCGTGTTATTTTTATCCCTTTCTTATATCTTTATGTCTAATATAATACAAATTCACCATCTGAGATCATGCCAGAGTGGGCGGAGATAATATGATCAAGGAACCAATCAGGTACCTTGGGTATATTGCATAAAATGGCCGACACCTCCAGCCAACAAAATATTCCATACCCACGCTAATATCAATTATAAGGCTTATTTATCTATCACAATTGATCTATTATGACATAATGCAATATAATAATAGCACATAAACATAAAAAGTACACCTTAAAAAATAATATATAGCATAATATGATGCCCCGAGGAAAAAATTTCTATCGATATTTCCCCTGAAGGTGAAGAAAGGGTCCGACCTCTCTCATCAGTGATGAGAGAAAACGGATTTACAATGGTTAACTGTAATAAACACTCGTAGGTCGCGGAAAAAGTGTAAAATAAGGCGAATTTTTCGGGGAAAAAAATATTTCCCGGGCACCTGGGGTGCCGCGCGCTTCGGCCTATATCTCGAAAGTAACTTATTTACCTATTTAGGGTGATTCCATCCTTATTTATGAATGAATTGACTTGATTTTCACAACAAACATAGAAGAATGATTGCTTTACAAGTTTATTGGTACCTTTCTGAAGTATCCCAAATATTTTCAGATTTGTGTGGGCAACAAGACCGACATCTTCCAAAATGTCAAAAAAGTTATGAAACTTTATTTTTTTTAGCATGAAGATAAGATTTATTATATAACTGGTACCTGAAAAATGATGGAATTAGAAGTGTTCTATCAGCAGTAAGTGTCAAAACCACTTTTCCAAGTACCACTGACTCCAGGTCCCCTGCCAAATGTAATTTTTCGTAAATTTTGCATATTTCATTTCCTTTTTGGCCGATATTTTTGAAACTTCAGCACAGGATACTCGATATAAGCTTCTAATAGTACACCAAAAATGAATGTAATCGGTTCATAAATAAAGACGTCGAATATTTTTGAGCAAACGACCCCTGAAGCCTCCTACCCACTTTTTGGACCAAACATGATTACCTCCCAGTCTTCAGGCACTTGTATGCCCCCATCCCTATGGGTTCAGGGTTTTATGATTATGATAATACAGTAATAATAATCTGTTGCACACTGCCTGTAGCCAATATCTGTGGAATTTGCTCTTGGTTAAAGAATCTTTCCTTCTCTGCATAGTTATATCATTTTGCCTCAACTGAACATAAACCTACTCATTGTAATATTTAGCAGAGCTGGTTCCTCATCACTTATATCACTTTCTCCAGTGCTAATGCTAAAGAACACAAATCATTTTTGAGCAAATTCTTGGCACACAAGAGCATTCATGTCACATTCAATTCATTCTATCTTTTTCAGTAATATCAGGTATCATTCAACATAGCTCTTAAGTGTATGTAATCTATTTTGCAAATTTACGTTTCATCTCTGTTGTACAGAACCTTAAAAAAAAATCAAGATTAGTGCCTATGGTATACCATCCTCAACAAATATGCTAAAACCATGCATTTCTCGGAATATGAATAGTCACAGCAACAAGCTTCTGAAATTAGGTGAACTGCACTTATGTTAATAAATACTTAAACAAATTTCCCTATCAGTATTATTTCGAATTTCAGAATGATTCTTGACGCTGCCACGTGGCAGCGTGACCCCAACACCGAGATGACCAACGCTCCACACTCCACAAAAAAACTCCGGATTTTGGAACTTTTCGAATTTCAGAATTTCGGATAAAGGGATGTGGACCTGTATACAATAAAGAGGTGTCAAATTACGATTCTGATTAAACATGTCATCATATTAAGAGAATTTTATGTATGATACTGTAAAATTTATGCCTGTATGTAACCACTGTGGATCAATGCACACTACACTGAGCCCTGGCAGGCCAAAAAAAAATAAAATTTAATTTAGTGCCACTGTTACTTCGCCAAAGTCATATTTGCAATGGAAATATCTGCTGACAGTATCACGAATCAAGCTAGTGAATTCTGGTTAATTGTGAAAGTTTCCAATATAAAAGTGCCTATTTATGTAGTTTTTAAAAAAGTTTTCAGTGCCTGTTAATACAAACATCTCACTTTATGAATACTGGGTGAAAATTAATGTTTAAAGGATATAAATGAAAATTAATTCCATCTTGATATGTAGTATATGAATTTTGACTTTTAACCCTTTGATTGTCGCAAGCCCCTTTCTGAAACTGTCATTCTATGTTGCAAAATTTTTGGGAAAAAAAAAAAAAATTTTTCTTATGAAATGATAGAGAATCTTTTCCCCGATGGTAATGACACCAAAAGTATGAAATTTGGTTGAAAACTCACAGAATTACGCTCCCACGAAGTTAGCGGTCTTGGCGACATATATGCATCGGCAATTTCGCCGACTTTGAGCCCTGTTTTTGGCCAATTCCGTTGTTCCAGTTGACCAAACTCGTAGCTATTTCTTTAGAACCCCATTTTTTTCTATCAGTTGAGTACAAGAAACCACCCATTTACCGATTTGAACTACCCAATAAAGTGGTCAGAAATTGGCAATTTGGCCAATTTCACGCAAATTAAAAAAGATGCCAATTTCAAAATAGGGTCCAGAATAAACAATGTAGATATTCTTGGCACTAAAATAACATATCCCCTGTTCATTAGTCATGTCTTTAGGCCCCTCTTATATTACTATTGCTTCCTATTTAGATTTTTTATTCATACAAAAAATACAAAATTTACTGTTATGCAGACTACTGCATTATTGTAAAAATGGTATAAATAATATCAGTGCACTAGTGAAAGAATATAAGACTCCCCAGTTGATGTGTATTGGACGTGTGGTGTGATCTGCTTACTCCTGAACATTGGTAAAAATCGAACATTTCCGCTACTTTGAGTTCAATTTCAAGGACGTTTTCACAGTGAAACTAATCAAAATCATCTCTATTTCTGTAACATGTTTTCCAGTTTATTATGCAAGACCACGAAAACGAGAATACAATGATAGATACTATAATAAAATACACCTCAAAGTCGGCGTTTTAATAAAAAAAAAACTTTTTTTTCTCATTATGCACTGCGTGCTGCAGGATTTTTTTATGTGGTGCACACTGACCACAGACCCATTCTCTCACATGTGGGCCTACCAGCTTTCTCCTGCTCGATTTGAAGCCGCTAGAATTTATGCGTATCAATACGTCCGAAACACTGGCTCGTAAGATGTATATATACGACCAAAACAGTCAAGGTTTAAACATACCAAAATGTATTATCACGATAATGCCTAGCTTTATTAGCTAAATTTTGAACATAATAATCCACAGATAAATATATCGGTTACATACCTTCTTCTCACAACGAATGTCATCATCGTCCTCCAGGAGAGGTACTACTTCAAGAGCTGATATGTGATTGGGGTTGTGAACAACAATTACAGAGCAGATGTAGTGATCTCGCTGACCATCCCGAGGGCATACTCTGGGATCGGTCTTCTCCTCAACAGACCTGAGGCAAAGTTGGAAACCATACTCCACGTTTACTTGCACCTTAGTTGTGTTACTCACTGGGTCAAACTGAAAAACAAATGCAAATAGATTTATTCAAATATACTGCATCAGATACTGTAGAGCACATTATATACAGTATATTAGTGCAACTATTTGCAGATACAGGAGCAGAACTGCCTGTGTTATACTGTTTTTATCAATTAATTTTTCGTATGGCTTCTTAAATATTCCAGCCATTGTAACATGCATTTACTACCTCTTATTCAATTCCAGTAGTTATACTTACCATCATGTTCCCAAGGTCAAATGTGATCATCTCTCCCCTGAACTTGGATTCTGATCCACGATCTATGTAATTAAATGCCTCAATGCCCAGCTGCTGTTCATCAATGTCTTGTGGAAGCACCTGCACAGGTATTTCAGAGTGTGAGGACACAAGAGGGGTGAACACTCCCCAGCTATTGAAGTCATTGTCGTCTTCAGTTTCAGCACACCTGTAGTGTAATAGTAGTTTCAGAATTTAAAAAAACAAAAATAAATAGTTTCCCAAATCAAGGAAAAGCAAAAATAATACGTACTTCAATATTCGATATACACTGCATAAGCAGTCAAAATTATTTAAAGAAAATTCCTTGACTTGTATGTAATGCATAAACTGGTGCAAACTCAAACTAATGTACAAGCTTGAGCAGATATTTTTTTAGTTTTATTACCTCCTACCTTCCTCCCCTGATTTATACACCATCCTTTCTACATGCCCAAACCACCTCAAGCCCTCTGAATCAAATTTTTGGTGATCCTACATTGTCTGCTATGCTTTATGTTCCGAGTTCACTGCAATTCTCAATTCACACCACATCACACACATTCTCTCAAACATTACACTTTTCACTGCCTCTAGCCTCCTCCTCACTGTAACATTCAAAACCTCTGCCTCACCTCCTTATAAAAGTGTTGGTACCGCTATACTCTGGTACATTTTTTTATTCTTTTTTGCCCCCCAAATAAAGTTCTTTGTTTCAACAAATTCCTCAACACACCACCCACCTTTTCCCCCTTCATCTATCGTACGGTTTACCTCGTCTTTCACAGACCCATCTGCTGACATGTCCACTCCCACATGTCTAAATACAGTGGAACCTCTACTTGCGAGTTTAATCCGTTCCATGACCTTGCTCGCAACTGGATTTGCGAGTTGGCAGAGTCAATTTTTCTCATTTAAATTAACTAAAATGTAATTAATCCATTCCAGTGGAATTCTGTACTTCAATAATTTCGCTAATATCAACTTTACGGCTTATCTATCCATCTCACTTGATTTAATATGACATAATAAACAATATAAATAACAGAAGCCTGATATATACTCTAAAATGAATAAAATATGTAATTCATGTAGTGGTATGGGTGGTGTCGGCAGTGGACAACAGTTTGTCTGGAGACCAGACAAAATACTTCTTGAATAATTTCGCTAATATCATCTATACAGCTTATTTATCTATCACAGTTCATCTAATATAACATAACAAACAATATAAATAACACAGACACCTGATATATACTCTAGAATGAATAAAATATGTCATTATATATGTGGCGGTGGTGGCCAACGGGTGTTTGGAGACAGGACAAAATACTCCTTTAATATTTCGCTAACATCAACTCTTATTTATCTATCTGGGTAATTGCTGAGAAGTGAACTCCATTATTTATGCTCCGATTTCTTTCATTTTTGGTGTACGTTAAGAAGCATCTTTCCATTGTCCATTGCCCAGGTTTCAATAAGATAGTCCAACAAACAAATGAGATACAATTCCCTAGATCAAGAGCAAGAGCCCCTCACCAGCATCAAGGAACCTCCCTTGAGGTCTGCTCGTTTATGGAAGTTTTGCTTGCGTATGGAAGCAAAAAATCAACCCATCGACTGCTCATATTTGGAAAAACGAGCATGTGGATGCGCTCACAAGTAGAGGTTCCACTGTATATCTATTTCTATGCCCTCTTAACCTGAGCCTAATTCTTTGCATAAAAACTCTTAAATATTTTTAGTAACCTACCTCCTATTCCATTCATTTGCAACATATGTCACATGGATCCCTCATCCACAGAATTCTATATATACATGTATATTGTATATTAATTAAACTGAGTTACTTATAAATCCTTTTAGTTTTTTCTTAGCCAAACTGTACCCAGTAACCAGAATGCCTAAGTGATAGCACAGAATTACACTAATGCATAATGTACAATTAATAAATGTTTGAACTCAAAATATCAACTTGCATATAAAACAAACTCACCTAGACTTCTCATCAATAACCTTTGAAATATTGAGCCATGGCCTGTCCCATATCACAATTTCACAGATGTGTGTATCTTCTGAATTGTCCAAAGGACAAACATGAAGATCCGGGGCTCCTATTGGGCACTTTGTTTCCCCAACTCGCAGAGTGAGATACACAAGCAGACCAGCCACAACCTACAAAGAAAAAGACAATTAAATTATCTAAATACATACAATTGCAGCAATTTTTTGTCATTTTAAAGCTGACCTTATGATATTAGGAAGGGACATGTGCACAATAAATTAAACAACCAACACCAAGATATACATTATCAAGACTTATAACTGCATATATCCTCGACAAACTGCTGTACAAGTCAACACTAAATTACTAACTGAAAAATTAAGTCCTCTCTGTACCCCTTACAAAAGAGTTGATAATCTGATTATTTTCTGTTTTACTTTCTAATATTTTAAGCTGTTTGTGATTCTGGCATTTTCTTATTATCATCACCTTGCTTTTTTCTATAACCTCTTTCAACTACTTTTAACTTCTTTTACCCAAACTTATCCACCAATCTTGCAAATTCTCTTCAAAATTTCTTAACAGCAAGAAAACTGATAACTCCCACTTCAAATAAGGAATATAAATAATTAAAATCTTCATGGGGAGGTTAAAAAATTTCTTCCTCTGTAAGCCATGCATGTCATAAGAGGCAACTAATATGCCAGGAGCAAGGGGCTAGTAACCCCTTCTCCTGTATAAATTACTTAGGTAGGTAACCCTACCTCAGTGGGATATGGTCGATTCATTGGAAAAAAAGAATTACATTGCATTTTTTTTTTTTTTGTATACCTGGAGTATACTGGGAGAGGGTTTCGGGGGTCAACATCAGCCACTAGGCCCCGGTCTGTGACCAGGCCTAGTATTGGATCAGGGCCTGATCAAGCAGGCTCTTACTGTTGGCCCCCACGCAAACTGATGCACAAGCCACAGCCCAGCTGGTCAGGTACTGATTTTAGGTGCCTGTCCAGCACCTTCTTGAAGACAGCCAGGAGTCTATTGGTAATCCTGCTTATGTATGCTGGGAAGCAGATGAACAGTTTTGGGCTCCTGACACTTACTGTGTTGTATGATCAAAATTAAAAACTAAAACCAAACTGCTAATAATGTGGCAAATATGGCACTAAAACAATGGGGATTACTTCATGAAAAACATCAAAGAGCAGAGGATATACTTAAATAAATAAATAAAAAGACTTCCTTTTCACTTAATAACATTTCACAGGTGGGCTGCAACCACACTTCCAATGAAGTACAATAAGAGTAACAAAGATGTATGGAAGAGGAAACAGAAAAGTCCAGGCCCGGTGGCCTGGATGGTTGCCCGGTGGCCTGGTGGCTAAAGCTCCCGCTTCACACACGGAGGGCCCGGGTTCGATTCCCGACGGGTGGAAACATTTCGACGCGTTTCCTTACACCTGTTGTCCTGTTCACCTAGCAGCAAATAGGTACCTGGGTGTAAGTCGACTGGTGTGGGTCGCATCCTGGGGGACAAGATTAAGGACCCCAATGGAAATAAGTTAGACAGTCCTCGATGACGCACTGACTTTCTTGGGTTATCCTGGGTGGCTAACCCTCTGGGGTTAAAAATCCGAACGAAATCTTATCTCTCTTAAGATGTGATACTCTTTCTTATTAAGTCAAAAGACAAGGAGGAACTGAGAAGAGCAAGTGATGCAGAAACATTTGGTAGGATCAGAGATGGAGAAAAAAAAAAAAAAAAAAGGTAGAAAAAGAGTTACTGGTCCCCCCCTTTTCAAGTTTTCAACACTAACATACACCATACCTAATGCAAACCTTGGACTTTGTTTGTGTGGATTCTTTGTCTCTCAGTAACAGAACATGTCAAATGTTCTTAATCTTCAGAATATGTGAATAAACCTGACAACTGCCATCTCCCCGCTGCCTTGACCTTATTACTGGCCTTTGCTTTTTGCCATTTTCTTACTCATTTGTGACCTACTCCAACAGCCCAGGACAGTGAAATGTTCAACTTAAACTTAAATTTTTGGACTTAGTGTGAAGGGAAAGAGGGAGAGGGGAATGAAAAGAGTAAGATTAAGGAAAATGGGGGAGTGAGTATTATGTAATACTGTATTGATCCATGAAACCATATTTTGAGTGTCAACGATCATGTTACAGACTGAAATCCTCAAATAATAATACCTGATGGTAATAATAATAGTTATTATAATACTGTAATACAGTACTGTAATTAGGGATTACATAAACAAGGATTAATAAATTGAAAACTGTAATGTGTGTATTTTGTACTGTAATGTACAATACAATGCCAATCCCCTGTACAATTGTGGAACGCTTCATAGCATACTTCCAGGATACAATGCAAGTTTTAATTTTTAAGAACCGTCAATAAACCACACACAAAACTTCCAAAATACAAGTTCAAGAATAAAATAAAACTTGCTCCTTGGAACATTATACCTCGTTTCATCTGCTAATAAGAACTTTACAATAGCTCAGTAGGAAACGCTAGTAATGATGCAATCTTCAAGTGATGATAGCTTTAGCTTCAGAACTTAAAGAAAAGGTTAAATGTCATGAGCACACGAGAAATGTCAAGAGGCCAGAAAGAGATCAAAAAAAATGCTGGAAGGTCGTGTCAGTACTGGCAACTAAAGTGCAAAGGCATATTAAGTAATGAGTGACTAGGCACTAGAATAAAAACTGGTATGATATTATATCTTGCTGTCACTGTTAGCATTAAAGACAAACCGGGAAATAAGTGAAGGAGAAAGGAAAAAAAAGGGGGGGGGGGAGGTAGAGCTACCAAAATTAACGAGTCAAGGGCAAGAAAGGAACAATGAGGCACCTTAACAAGAGTGCAGCATGATCATGCTTGGCATAAGCAGGAGGTTCCGTTGCAAGTCATTGTTGACGAGTGATACAAATATCAAATAAAAATATGCAAATACGTAGTGTAGTAGTAGCAGTAGTAAATAATAATAAATAATAATATAATTTATTTCAGCAAGATACAGTACTTATACAGAGATGGGCGACTAGTTGTGCATGAAGAAAGCCCATAGTTATGCAGAACATTTCTGGAAATAACTGAAGTCTGCAAGAGTGACAAAAATTATAAAGGCATTGTATGTATGCTATATATTATATATATATATATATATATATATATATATATATATATATATATTATTAAATATTATATATATTATATATAATATATATATATATATAATATATTATATATAAATATATATATATATATTATATATATTTATATATATTATATATATTATATATACGTATATTATATAATATATATAATTATATATATAATATATTATAAATATTATACATATTATATATATATATATATATAATATTATATATATATATATATATATATATATATATATATTATATTATATAATATTATTATACATATATATAATATATATATACATTATATATATTATATATATATACATTATATTATTATATATATATATTAAGGAGTGATTGGTGGAATGATGAAGTAAAGGGTGTGATAAAGAGAAAAAAGGTAGCTTACGAGAGTTTTTTTACAAAGCAGAAGTGTTATAAGAGCAAAGTATATGGAGAGTAAAAGAAAGGTGAAGAGAGTGGCGAGAGAGTGCAAAAGGAGAGCAGATGAAAGAGTGGGAGAGGCACTGTCAAGAAATTTTAATGAAAATAAGAAAAAATTTTGGAGTGAGTTAAAACAAGTTAAGGAAAGCCTAGGGGAAAGTATGGATTTGTCAGTTAAAAACAGAGTAGGGAGTTAGTAGATGGGGAGAGGGAGGTATTAGGTAGATGGCGAGAATATTTTGAGGAACTTTTAAATGTTAAGGAAGAATGGGAGGTGGTAATTTCATGCACTGGCCAGGGAGGTATACCATCTTTTAGGAGTGAAGAAGAGCAGAATGTAAGTGTGGTGGAGGTACGTGAGGCGTTACGTAGAATGAAAGGGGGGTAAAGCAGCTGGAACTGATGGGATCATGACAGAAATGTTAAAGCAGGGGGGGATATAGTGTTGGAGTGGTTGGTACTTTTGTTTAATAATGTATGAAAGAGGGAAGGTACCTAGGGATTGGCGGAGAGCATGTATAGTCCCTTTATATAAAGGGAAAGGGGACAAAAGAGATTGTAAAAATTATAGAGGAATAGTTTACTGAGTATACCAGGAAAAGTATACGGTAGGGTTATAATTGAAAGAATTAGAGGCAAGACAGAATGTAGAATTGCGGACGAGCAAGGAGGTTTCAGAGTGGGTAGGGGATGTGTAGATCAAGTGTTTACATTGAAGCATATATGTGAACAGTATTTAGATAAAGGTAGGGAAGGTTTTTATTGCATTTATGGATTTAGAAAAGGCATATGATAGAGTGGATAGAGGAGCAATGTGGCAGATGTTGCAAGTATATGGAATAGGTGTAAGTTACTAAATGCTGTAAAGAGCTTTTATGAGGATAGTGAGGCTCAGGTTAGGGTGTGTAGAAGAGAGGGAGAATACTTCCCGGTAAAAGTAGGTCTTAGACAGGGATGTGTAATGTCACCATGGTTGTTTAATATATTTATAGATGGGGTTGTAAAAGAAGTAAATGCTAGGGTGTTCGGGAGAGGGGTGGGATTAAATTATGGGAATCAAATTCAAAATGGAATTGACACAGTTACTTTTTGCTGATGATACTGTGCTTATGGGAGATTCTAAAGAAAAAATTGCAAAGGTTAGTGGATGAGTTTGAGAATGTGTGTAAAGGTAGAAAGTTGAAAGTGAACATAGAAAAGAATAAGGTGATGAGGGTATCAAATGATTTAGATAAGAAAAATTGGATATCAAATTGGGGAGGAGGAGTATGGAAGAAGTGAATGTTTTCAGATACTTGGGAGTTGACGTGTCGGCGGATGGATTTATGAAGGATGAGGTTAATCATAGAATTGATGAGGGAAAAAAGGTGAGTGGTGCGTTGAGGTATATGTGGAGTCAAAAAACGTTATCTATGGAGCAAAGAAGGGAATGTATGAAAGTATAGTAGTACCAACACTCTTATATGGATGTGAAGCTTGGGTGGTAAATGCAGCAGCGAGGAGACGGTTGGAGGCAGTGGAGATGTCCTGTCTAAGGGCA